ACAGCAAACATCAAGAAAGCCTGTCATGAGTCTGAACTCTGGTATCCTGTAATCTTTCTGCCCTCTTCCCTTCCTTGGCCATCCACCTCTTCAAAAGTGTAAGCTATCTAAGTTCATAGTCCAACGGGCAGGACACTTAGTTTACAAATCTCTAGACTGCATTTATAAGCCAGAACTTTTAAAAAGTAATATCCAAGGATAGTAGCAAAGTCTGGGCTTTTATGTTGGATAGGAAATTTGCTCGTAAATGGAAAGGACAATCCCAGTCACAGTGCTGGAGAATACAATCAGGAAGAGGCTTTCTGTTCCTTAAAGGGGGGAGCCTTTCTCACAGAATACCGTCAAGTCATTTTGGAGTGTGCTAATTACAGTTCTGGTTATGACATTTGTTGGCACAAGCTCAAATTACACTTGCCACCAGCTTCAGAGGCAGTGCCCACCCCACATCTTTATTTCTGGGCTGCACTGAGTATAGAATTTATGACAAGCTTGGATCTAGGGTTGAAAATTGAAAATAATGTTCCTTAAGATATCAGCCTGGGAAGTCTGTTCTTGAAGGTTTTTTTGTATGTGTTAACCACTTTTTAAATCATTTGTTGGAGGCTAATATTTTCTTTCTCAGGTCAGGTGAGATTATGTACCTTGGAAAATACTGTGTTTCACAGGGTATAACAGTGGTAGGGAGAAAGAGGGTCAGACAAAGTTGGGTATGCCCAGTCTTTCCCCTAGCTGCATTGGCCCTCATTGCTCTGCCAGTTGCCTTTGGGCCTGCTTGTGCTGTTGTTTAATACTAGGTCAATCAATAATAAGGGCTGCCTCATCCACGAGCAAGTCACTGGAGGCAAGGAAAGGCTGACATGACTTGCATGACTGTGAACGGATGGATAGGCTAATGGGACTTGATCTCTCAGCTGTATGTACCTGGGAGTTTGGTTCAATACAAGCAGAATGTGAAGGGCCTGGAAGGAAGCACCCCATTTACATCTGATTTTAGGAAGCCAGTAAGAACTGTTGCTGGTCAGCTGGGTGAGACTCAGTGTAATATTATAAGCTGAATCCAAATAAGGAAGGTATGTGGTTGGTAGTTGGCTCTTGGAACAACTAAACCCGTTACAAGTGCCAATGACCAGTCTGGCAGTCATTCTGGATATGTAAATGGTTTTTGAGACTAGAAGTGCTTTTTTTCGAGCTAAGGTGATACTCCAGGTGCATCCCTTCCTAAGAAACCTGGACTTAATGTTGTAGTTACTTTTAGGTTAAAACTACTGCTAACCCCTACAGAAACTTTTACTATGAGAAAATGTTTTCCACCACTGGCCATGTTGGGCAGAATTAGATGACTCAGACATCATACAAGTTGCCGGTTCTTGATCAACTAATTGAACTTAATGTCCTTGGGACTTAGGGTAACATCAGGACCTTTTCTTATCTTTGTGCCCTTCCATATATTCAGCTCCACTTCTGAGATCATGGCATAGATGTATTGTTAAAATTAGACTTCACAATGACTGGGAACAGGACCTTTTCATTAGCAGCACCCACTTTGTGGAATGCTGTCACTAACAAATTTCATCTGGTGTGATACTATATTCTTCTAGGTGTCTGGCTAAAATATGTTTCAGAAAGCATTTACTCATGATTAGCAAATGTCTTAGAATTAGTTGTTTTCAGTGCTTCCGCTCACTGTAAAAGTACTGTATGCTCCTTATATTCACATTCTTATTTGTAATTTAATATTTCATCAGTTGTTATGTACTGTACAGAGCTTTACTGTTTTGGGAGATGTTAGCAATTGGGTTTACTTTTACAGTATATTGAAAACAGGGATGTAATAGTTTAAAATTAAATAAAGAACAAATGATCTTGATGTGGTGAGATTCACAAAGTTTTTTGGACTCACTAGGGCAGAGCTTTACTGTTTTGGGAGATGTATAGCAATTGGGTTTACTTTTACAATATATTGAAAACAGGGATGCAATAGTTTAAAATTAAATAAAGAACAAACGATCTCCTTGATGTGGTGAGATTCACAAAGTTTTTTGGACTCACTAGGAGAATGGGGAGAGAAGATTTTTCTTAAGATTACTTCCTGCTGAAGTTTGGGCTGTTGGGTTCCTATTGGAGCAATCCACCCATTAAGGAATTCTAGGCATTCCTGAGGCTCTCTGAGCTTCTGTTGATACAACTATTGATATTCTTGTGGCAGAGCTTGAAGCTACTTTTTAGATTACAACTCCCAGAATCCCTTGCCAGCATGGCCACTGGTCATATTAGCTGGGAGATTTTGCCAGCGTGGCCACTGGTCATATTAGCTGGGAGATTCCATGGCCTGTGGTCTGAAAAGGTAGCTTTTCCGAGCTGTGCTAAGTGGAATATGGAGATGACCTGGGTGACTGACATGATTTTTCTCTTACTAAGCCCACTCAGTGATAAATAAGGAGGGGGCACAGGTAGAACACAAGTGGCAGAAAATTCCTTACAGTTTGATAAAATCCTGATAAGAGTTCACTTTGGAGCCTGTGTGGCACCTAATTGCCTCTCTGCTTTTGAGAATTTAATGGAATGTTTGATAAAATCCTGGTAAGAGTTCACTTTGGAGCCTGTTTGGCACCTAATTCGGGTGAAGCAGTGGAAATGCTGGAGATCAAGATGCCTCTCTGCTTTTGAGAATTTAATGGAAAAGATGACACCCCTCCTCTTGAGATCATTCCAAGCCATCTCCTTCAATCTTTAGAATTCTTTCCACATCTTTAGTATTGGTGGCACCAGTCTCCTCATGAACAATTATTGAACTAGATGTGACATGAGAGAGAAGGACTGGACTGCTAAAGATATTTTTCTTTGTTTCCTGAAGGTGTGGACAGGGGGCTATAACATGGGATAAAGAGTATTAATTCCTGTTTCTCCCATTTTAGTCTTGTCTTCCCATGGGGTTTCCGAGGACCACCCACATTTCACATGACATTTTGGAAAAGACTGAGTGGAAGGCATACACTCTTGGATGCCACTGCCTACGGATGCTCACTACCATAAGTATCTGTAGGCAGTAGTGTCTAACACCGCATCCCTTGTCTAGCCCAGTTTTTGTGTAGTGGTTCAGAGGATCAGTGGAAAGCTGGTTGTCTAGCAAGATCTCCAGGCCCAAGTGATATGCATCGAATTATCAAGTACTTATTCCATCACATCTGAGGGCACTAGGATGAGGAAAGCTGCCTCACAGTCTTGCCGAGCTTTCAGTGGCTGTGCCGGTCAGGATGCGGTGAGAGTTAAGTGGAGTTGCTGTAGAGCCAGCTGATATTGGAGTTGAGCAAAACAATGCGTACCCTGTGTACAGACAAACAGAAATGCTATTTGCTAGACTCCATTCATTCTGTCTAACAAGACACAAAGGAAAGTCCAGATACATTTCAGGACAAACCTGTTCAGTTAGTTTCAGCCTGCCTCGGCTGCCTTGGTCCAGCCATTATGGGATTCAGTAAGTCTATGCTGACACAAAGCTAGAAATGTTATTGAAAAAAGTCATCAAAAAGATTATCTGAGGAGAGAATCCTATCCAGGAGAGAAGAGTCCAAATCTGTGTAGGTAGCCAAATGTTTAAGGCCCAAAATTGTATGTATAAATATATATATTATACTTTTTTGCATCTCTTAATTTTAATTGAAACTGTTTTAAAAGATCTCAGTGATTGTGCTTCCTTTGGAAGGAACTTGGGAAGGCATAAGGAAGTTTACCCTTGACTAAGTGGGTAAACTACTGCCTTATCTTCCCTAGTAAAAATGACTTCATTTTTCAGCATCTGAGATTTTAAATGCCTGTGGCTACAGTCTTGAGAAGGCATTACATCCCTGACACTAGAAAATGAAATATTCATCATTATGACTTGGGTGTCACCATGCTTCTCAACCAACTATAGGGTTCACTTGAACGTTAAGTGAGAAGCATGGTGACACCCAAGTCATAATGATGAATATTTCATTTTCTAGTGTCAGGGATGTTTATTTAGGAATTTGGAAGATGAGTTAGGGGGTAAATAGATATTATCTTGTTTACAAAGCAGTTAATTTTCATCCTATACAAAAAAAGTGAGTAATCCAAGCTTCTCTGTGTCTGCAGTTGCTTAGCAGAAAGAAGTGCAGTTGCCATGACTCAGCTTCCCAATAACCTCACCTGGATGACTGAGAATCTTCACAGTTATTAAGTCATACTAGTTGTGACTTTACTAAGTCACAGCCAGAGTAGAGTAAGTCCATTTGAATCAGTGGAATTTACAGAGGAGTTGATGCACCAAATACCCTCTGATTCAATGAGTCTGCTCTAGTAAGCCTTAAGATATACTGAGCAACAGGATTTCAGTCAATGTGTCAAGATATAGGTGAACCCTTTTCCCCGAAACATGATCTTGAAACCAAAATGCATACTGCAGCTCCTTCCATCTAGGAGGCTTACCTGGCCTCTACACCATCAGCCATGCGATTTTGGGACATTAAAAACAGTAGATAAGTTTGGAACTGCCCACCAGAACTTGATGCACAGCCTTGAAGATGATTCATCACCAAAAGCTCACTATTTTTTTCCTTTCTTTAAAATTTCTTAATGGTCAATTAAAGGCTATCACCTGCTCCTGCATTTGTATCGTTTCCACAAGCATGTGTCCCTTTCCTGATTTTTCATGATTTACTTGGTTCTCCCATTTCAAAAACAAAGCGTGCTGCTTATATACCGCCCCATAGTGCTTAAAGCACTCTCTGGGCAGTTTACAAGTTAATTATGCAGGTTACACAATGCCCCCACCCCCACCCCAGCAAGCTGGGTACTCATTTTACCAACATTTAACTCTCTCAAGGAGAGTTAGCAGCCAGTAGTACCACTGAAAGCCGCTTGTGTGAATGGGTGTAATGCTCTTGCATTGTAAATGTGACTGCACTGAATGAACTTTTACCACTGAATGCAGCATCTCTTGACGTCTCTGATGGGATTTTTTTTTCTCTCTCCCTTTCCAGTCTACGTTGTGGAAGAGCGGCGAAGGGACGACACAGGTGAAAGTGCCTGCCTGACGGCATGTTGGACTGCACTGTGCTGCTGCTGCCTTTGGGACATGCTGACCTGAGTGCCCTGAGATGCTAAGTGTCTCAGTACCTCTAATGTGGAGTGCTATGCATTCTCCTCCTCCTCTTCCTCCAATCTCCTTTCTCTCCTCAACAGCTTTTAGTACTGTAATGAATGAGACGCTTTGCACAGGCGACAATAATACATGTCCGCCATAGAGGTAGCACCATGATGTTGGTTATGCACTTTTTAGTTTCAGTGGAGGAAAACCTCCTCCATCCACCTCTTTGTAGCGTATGTTTCTAAGACTCTGTGGTTCCTTAAAGAATGTGCTAAACACTTTTTTTGGCCAAAAGGCTTTTACTGCAAATTATGTTTTTATAATTCTTACCACTTTTAGAAACTGAGTAATATGCAATAATTCGAGCCAATCATTTGTGTTTTTCTTACTTGCTTCCACTTCTGTTTTAATAAACTTTGTTCAATAAAGGTATGAGCCAGTAACATGAAGGCTACATGTCAGTTTTTGTTCTCATGTGCTTCTAAGGTACCAAAGGCAGTAACGCCAAATATTTGCCCAGAGATAACTTTAGAAAGCTCCACTCCCTCTTTGTGCCATGTCATTTCTACACAGTAGGTAGAACACAGTGCCCTTTTTATGACTGATGTTTCCTGGAAAAATCTTTGAAGAAATTGATGCTTTGAAGAAATTGATCAAAGCCCCCCTTCCTTCTGCCATACTTCTAATGCCTTGCAAATTATATTCTTCATTCTACTAAGCTTTAAAAATTACAGCTACTAGGCAAGAGGTTGTGCAGATTGATTTCTTCAGTAGAGTTCACGGAACTTATTCTCTGCTCTGCCTAAAGTATCCTGCAGATATATGACTGTACTGTTAACTGTTTTTAGAATGAACAAGCCAGGAATTTGTTCAGCAGTTTGTAATACACAGGCAATCCTTCTGAAGCCTCCATAACTGAAACTGACAGCCATGTTTGGCTGCTTGCTAATTTCAACCTTCTGATTTGAATCAAAATTTCATTTCAAGCAGCATTCTCTACATGCCCATAGAAATCTCTAGTTCCAATATGGGGAACATACCAGCCATGCTCATATGCTGTACAAGAAACAAACTTCACTGTAGTGGTGATTGGTCTGTCTGCTGGCATGAAAGACACGTGGATTTGAGTAGTTTACTGTAATGGGCTTGCATCAAGGAATTTACCGTATTTTTCCATGTATAAGACTATACTTTTATCTGAAATCTTTAGACTAAAATTGAGGCTCGTCTTATGCACGGAAGTAAGCTGAGGAGAGAACAAAAACAAGTGGAGGGGAAAGCAGGGATTAAAGTGATCCTGCAGCGCTTTGATCCCTTTCCCCTTACACTTGCTAAACCCAATTTATTTTTCTTAATTTTGGATTAGAAAAGTGGGGGGCGTCTTACACACCGAAAATATGGCATATACCGTTTCCCAAAAAAATAAGGCCTAACCTAAAAATAAGCCCTAGTATGATTTTTCAGGATGCTCGTAATATAAGCCCTACCCCCCAAAGTAAGCCCCATTTAAGTAAAACCCCACCCTCCACCACTGTGCAGCAACCAGATGATGATGACATTGTACATGAAAAAACAAAACATCCCCTGAAAATAAGCCCTAATGTGTTTTTGGAGCAAAAATTAATATAAGACCCTGTCTTATTTTCGGGGAAACAAGGTACAACATTGGAGACCCTCTCCTGATTAGGATATGAAGGAGCTTTTAGTACTAAAGCTTCACCACCACCACAACACACACACACACTGCTTGCAAAAAAAAATTTAAGTATTTCATCACAAGTTATTAATATGATTATTAATATGGTGTAAAATACCAACTTGCACTGGTAATCACTTACCAGTGCAAGTTGGTATTTTACACCATGCACCGGTGTCATACCGTAATGAGTATTCAAATGGCAATTATAATTGCTTCTGATATTTTCCTGCAGATTCATGAGTCGGAATACAGTATTGCTCTCTTAGTTATTTCTTGCCCACAACCAAACAGTGAAACAGAGCAGCCTGCAAAACTGATTTTGGTCATTCACCAGTGAAGCTTAATTGTTGTCTGAAGGTATCTATCCATAAGCATTTGTGGAGCGAAATATCACCAAGAGCAAATTGCTCAAATTGCTACAGAAGTATTATGAACACAACAAATTGATTGTAAGCATATATACACTGGCTGTTTTGTGTGTACATATAAAGTCTCTGAAAAAATGGAATAATATAGGATAGATTTTCAAAAAAAAGTACAGTACTCTGGAAGACTTCCTTTTCTCCCCCAACCCTCTTTTTTTCAGTTTTAAAATGCGAGGGGGAGAAATGTCTACAAAATAATATTTCCTGTTTTGAAATGTATGAAATGCTTTAAGACTTTTTTTCTTATAAAACATAAAATGAATTTTGTGTGTGGGGGGGCAAAGAATCTAAAACATAAGGGGAAGAATCACCATCCATATGGTAGACAGATACTGATACACACATTAGGAGGTGCCTTCCAGTGACCTTAGTCAAAGGTCACTGGTTACTATTTTCAGCCTTTATTTTTCCTTCTCATATAGCAAGTATTAAAATACACACCCTTGAGTAGTCTAGGATACAGCAGTTGGCAGCCCTTTCTAGTACTGGACATAGTACTGCAGCTCAGCTTGTAGGAAACAAGACACTCAGACTTTTGGGATTGCAATCCTATGTGTGCTTTGACTTACTAAGCTATACTGTAGATGATTTCATATTGTTATAGCAATAAAAAATAGATTTGATAAAGCATTGCACATATTTTAATTTTTCCCATTAAAAATAATCAAGAAAAAAAAGGACTTTTCCTGTATCCATGATCTCAAAATGATGTGAATGCTTGGGACTAACTTTTTAAAATTAAAGCTACTATTTTGTAGGTGAAAATTGAGAACTTAAATTAATTTTAGCCCACTAGAATTAAAATTTAACTGATACTGTGATTATCCTGTTGTCCAATGTTTGCACTTAGATATTCTGCAGGCACCTTTCACTGTGTACTCAAATATGAAGTAACAGACACACCTTTTGATATGCACAGTGGCAATGATGTGGCCTGATCCTTTTTGCTTCAAAGCAAAGGAGTCCCCATTCTAAATTTTTGAAATAGAATTACAGATGTCTAGAGATGGAATATCCTGGACCCAGGTAGTCAGGAAGCCCTGTTGCACCTCCCTGAATCAACTTGTCCAATTAGAGGTCACTATGCAGCATACCAGACCAGCATCCCGCTCACTGCGTCAAACTTGGATGTAGCCCGGCTAATGGTTCTCTGCCTTCCTGCACTTCAGGCCACTCCAGCCAAGGGGGTGGGATGATGTGTCTCCCTACTCAGGTGCTGAGTGGTCAGAAGTGCAGGAAGGTGGAGAAGCACCAGTTGGGCTACATCCAAGATTGGCACGATGAGCAGGATGACAGTCCTGTGCACTGTGTGGTGACCCATAAGTGGACAGGTCAGGTCGAGTTGGGGAGGCAGGACTGGGCTTCCTGGCCACATGGGTCCAATATATTTGTATATAAATATGAATATCTCATCTCTGTCTAATCTGTCTATATTGCTGTTCAGCCAGTTAGTGATTTCCGGAAAGGTGTAATATAAACATTTTAAATTACAAAAATGTGGTATGAACTGAAAGTTATGTACAGTACCTTGTATTTTCTTCCCAAAAAAAGTAAGACATTATTATTCTTTAATTAGTAGTAGACTGATTATGGCATGCCCGGACAGCATAGTGAGTTAGGTATCTGGTTGTAGAGTTGGAGTTGGAGAGTTCAGTTCCCCACTCTGCATGTCAGTAGAGCCAGCCGGTGTGGCCCTGGGCAAGCTGCACAGTCCCAGCTCAAAAGAAGGGAAGGGTAAACCACTTCTGAGTACTCTCTACCTAGAAAACCTTGGAAAGAGTCACCATAAGTCAGAATTGACTTGACGGCACATGATTAAGAGAGATTACAGTGTTTCATCATCAGCTGTGGAAACAGCTAAAACTTGCTGTCAGAATTGGTGCATGTGGGCACATGCGCATACCAATCAAAAGACCACTAGGGCCCACACACGAGGTTCCATGTACTCTACGTCTGGATCTGGAGATCTTACAGATTTTTGATTTTCACTACATCTGATCTGAGTGCCTTGCCACAGACCTTTTTTCGAAGAAATACAACCACCACCACCCCCCGAATTACCACAACAGTGTTGCCTACTTCCAGGATAGTCTCTAACAGGGATGCACATTTTTATGTTTTTGGATTGCAGTTCCAAGGATTTAACAGCAAGGCCAGGGAAGGGCAGGCAGCCTTGAGAACGAGTCCTGCTCCATGTGAGCAAAATGTAGGTGTCCATAGGTGCGTGTACGAAGGCTGAAATGCCCTGAATTCTGTCTGGGGAACTTTTGGAGAATTCCGAGAGTTGAAATCCAAAAGAACAAATGAGCACACCCCCAGTTTCTAAGAAACAAAGAGCTCTTAAGAGTTTATACACCTACATAATTGTAGCTGTTTCTTCATAGAACACTGACTACTGTAACTCAGGCTATAATACTGCAACTGAAGCCTATTTTATTGCTACTTCAGTGTGATAAAAGAGTTGAGCAATGTCCCCCCCATCTGCCCCTCCCAAAATTTTGCTGCAGTACTCCCAAAATCAGAAAGCTGTGCTCTGACTAAAGCAGAATGTTCAGCACACACCTTGGGATTAGTATCCAGCTGCAACGTCAATTCTGTGCGTGGTTCTTCCCGTGCTGCTGTTCATTTAAAAAGGAATCCAGCCACCCCTTCCACAAGCTACTACTGCAAGGTGGAGATCAGCAAGGCTCAGGTAGAGCTGTAACTACAAAGTGTCACTTACACCGAATGCTGTGCAAAGAAGCGTGGTTTGCTTTTTTAAAAGGTCTCTGTGTGGGGTTATATTTCCTACTGCCTAATGTTAAAGTCACCTTGCCACTTATTTTGGTTGTGAGTCACAGCAATACAAGGTATGACCCCACTCCAGACTAAATCAAGGCAATGGAGTCCCTCCATCACAAGAGCTATTTACTCTTCTGTTAAAGAAATGCAGAAGCTGCAATCTCCCACTCACCCACAGCCATTTTGGTGGTATTATATATTTCCTATCCATAACTTATTTTACTGCTTAAGTATGCTACTTTCAGTTTTTTTTTAATGTTTTAATAAACTGAATTTCAGGCCAGATCAGACCCTGAATAGGGAATATCACATCGTCAAGGCATTGTTGTTATTTAGCCATTAGGTTGTGTCCGACTATTCGTGACCCCATGGACCAGAGCACGCCAGACCCTCCTGTCTTCCACTGCCTCCCAGAGTTGGGTCAAGTTCATGTTGGTAGCTTCGATGACGCTGTCCAACCATCTCGTCCTCAGTCGTCCCCTTCTCCTCTTGCCTTCACACTTTCTCAACATCAGCGTCTTTTCCAGGGAGTCTTCTCTTTTCATGAGATGGCCAAAGTATTGGCGCCTCAGCTTCAGGATCTGTCCTTCTAGTGAGCACTCAGGGTTGATTTCCTTCACAATGGATAGGTTTGATCTCCTTGCAGTCCAGGGGACTCTCAAGAGTCTCCTCCAGTACCACAATTCAAAAACATCAATTTTTCAGAGGTCAGCCTTCTTTATGGTCCAGCTCTCATTTCCATACATCGCTACTGGAAAGACCATAGCTTTGACTATGCGGACCTTTGTCGACAAGGTGATGTCTCTGCTTTTAAAGATGTTGTCTAGGTTTGTCATTGCTTCAAGGCATGAGAGCCTGAATTATAGAGACATTTTTCTCCTCAGTGGATCATGAGTGTTACTGGGAATTTTGGCAGACAGAACAATTGGTTACCCAGTCCCAGGGCTACCACCACCCTAGCTCTCTGGGGCACATTCTAAGCAGTTAATAATGTGTCTCTTCCAAAATGAATGTGCCCATTCTAAGGGATAATTTCCTTTTGACTTGTGCTCCTTCCTCAAGATTCTCATCCCTAGTGACTATAAAGGAATTACCACTATTGGAGCACAATGGGTCTGCTCAGTGGTAAATTTTGAAATCACTGTGATAGGCCCCATAGGCCACCCTCTCAAGAAGAATCAAGAAATACAGGCAGCTATGTGTCTCAACCTCAGCTGCTGGGCTGCAGCTGATTCCAGAAAGCAGAAAACTATTTTTTTTATCTGGGAAGGCACAGGCATGGGATTAAGATTCTGTAAAGCCCAGGAGGAGATGCAAGGGACCACATCACTAAGAGCCTGGCTCTACAAGCACCTTCCAGATTTACACTCCTTAATCCAGAAGGTAGTGGCATACAATGTGAAGTTCCAGAGCCTCATCAAAAAGATCACTTTCTCTAAGTGCAACACATGCTTTTTGCATAGCCCTTTTACTTGGCTATATAAAGAAAATGTGCTAGCAGTACTGTAATTAACTGCTTAGTACTCATGTGACCTATTTCTGTGATCCAGTGTTTGGTCAGATGCATTACTGGCAAATAAAACGTAGCAGCGATGTGCTGCATTAGGGCATTCACTCATCAACAGGGAGAAGAGGATTTTCGGATTTTCTTTCCTGACTTAAGACTCTGATCACAGTGCTGACAGAAATGTACAGAGCAGTTTCTTTTTTAGATTAACTGTTCTCCAATCTCTCTATTACGTTCTGAGAGCAGGAGCTGCTGATACCATCAGGGGGACATTGCTACCTTGGTAGGACAATAATCTTGTTTGCTACCCAGGCTGAACTACTCCACAATCCATATGCAGGGCAAGCAGAATACTGTACCTCATGGTATGCCTAATAAAGCAACAGCAATAATAAAGAGGCTTAGAAGAATGAGGTGTAAAGGTCTGCTCCCCCAGGACATTTGACAGTTGTTCAAAGCAAAACTACCAAAAGCAAGGAGCCACTGCAGTTGCCAGTGCCACCACCTGCTGGATTGAGCCTATAAAGCTCAGGAAACAGTACAGATGGAATGACAGGAGTAACAGCAGAACTAAGATTTAAGAATGTTGTGCTGCAGTCAGAACTCTCATTTTTACAGGATTCATTTGCAATTTCACACAGCTGTGAGTATTGAGTAGGTCATAGATCAAAGTTTCTCACTCAATAGATGCTATTTCTGTAAGTGAAAACATTCTGACCTTTTCCCCCATGATCTGCCTTTATCAAAAGGGCACTACCGTACCTCTTTAATTATATGCTTATAGGACAATACAATGCTAAACACCTGACTGAACTTTAAAAAGAAAAATCAATAACTAATTTGCTGTTAGCCAAAAATATTCATACTTATTATTTGCTGTTGAGGTTTCAGTAGGAAAAACAGGATAATTGTGATTTGAGTTTTGAAAAATCTATATATAAATGCAGACATTTGTGTCGTATCCAGTATTACAAACATATAATTTGTTCAATCCTGTGGTTCCGACAAAGAAAAGAAAGTAAATACATCCACATTGTGGTCTGCAACACTGTTTGCCAATTCTGAAGAACTAAGAATGTGAAGTTAACAAACAGATGCTTTTAAGTTGCCCTTTCTACACATCCTAAAGATAAGGAAGGAGGGGGCACATGGAAGAGCAAATATACTGCCCATTTCTGAATCTCAAAATTATTTGCTGGACAATCTGATTAATCTTACGTTTAGTACCTTTATGCTTAGACTTGGAGAGCACAGTCAGAAGAATCATTGTGCAGTGGAATTAAACAGGTTTCCACCAGCAGATGGCAGCTGAGGCATTTATCACAGCCTCATGATAAATCTTTCTCTTGAATACTTTTTCATGACAGCTTCTCAGTGATGAGGGAGATCCATTTGTAGTAGCCAACAGTGCATATGAAGAGTCATACACGACTTGACTAAACAACAGCAACAACAGTGCATACGTTCTAAGTGCTCTCTCCTTCTGGGGAGACAATGTGAAGCATTACACACAAAGAACGTGTCTGGAATGGTCTTTGGCAAATATGTGGGAACATCCTTTTAGTTTTGATTGTACATTTGTTTCTTCCACAGACAGAGCAGAGTTACAATAATTCCATTTTTGAGCATTACGTGCAAGCAATATAGTATTGTGTAGTACATGCTGCCAAGTTGCTTCTGACTTTGGCAGCCCTAACAGGGTCTTCAGGGTTTATGAGATATTTAACAAGTGGCTTTACCATTACCCCATCCCTAGTGAGTTTCTATGGCTGAGCATGCATTCAAAGCCAGGTTTCCTGAGTCCTAGGACAACACCCTGTCCATCACGCTGGCTTACTGACTCAACACCTTACTTAGCATGTCTCCCCACCCACCATCTCAGGCACATTGTCCATTTAAGTTGGAAATGCTAGATATCATAGAAAAGGGATGGTAGTTTTAAGAACACAAACTTCAGATTGCCCTTGAAGTGATATGTCCATCCCTGAAAGCTTAATATAATAGAATACTACTGTTAATTTGCTTCTTAAGGTTGACTGCATTAATTCAGATGAGGGACTGACGTATTTTCTATCAAGCAATAAGAAAGGCTGATAAAGACTGGAAGTTGGTGAGAAGAGAACTGAACTAGAACTAGAGAGATCCTGGTTCAAATGTTTACTCACTGGGAAGGCTCACTGAGGAACTGGGCGGCTAATCATCTTTTATCCCAAGCTACTCTGTTGGATGCATATTAGGACAAAATACTGTGCAAGGTTTCATGTTCTCTAGAATGCTTCCTCAGGTGAGATTTTTTTTAAGCAGATTTTTTCTCTCTCTCCTCCCCCCCCCTTTATTTTTTTTAATTTTGCTTAGTATCTTGCATGATAAATAATTCTGGATAACATGAAAACTTGCATAGCATTCTGTGATTTTTGCCTAACATATCAGTGCAATGTGGATACTGGATTATTTTATCCTTATTCAACATTACCTTTACTTTTTTATACTACCCCACAATATTTGATAAAATACCAGGTGAGAAGAAATATAAACAAGGCCACACGAGCAACCTGAAGGATAGGATAAAAAATAAACAACCGATAAAAATGTCATGCACAAGGTGGCAGCAACATCACAGTCTTCTGTTAACCTTTAGTAGCTATGAACTTAGTAGAGTTGTATAACTTCTTTCGGAGTGACTGATTACTGCAGTAAGTTGTTTTGAGAGAATACTGGCCTACTGAAAGGGCACTCTGCCTGCAACATGTCAGCTGTAAGGTCTTCACACTACACTAAAGTACCTCTATTGTGGCAGCCACCCCCTAAATCTACTCAGCCCACATCTAATGTCCTCCATTGTCCCCATTCTTCAATTAGATATTAATTTTTTTATTTAGCCACTCACTGTTCTTATAAAGTCTCACTGCCCCATGTGGTCTCAGCTAAAAAAGAAATAACTGTGAACAAGAATCCTAATACCAACTTGCACTCCTATCCTGATATTGAAACCTCACAGACTTTTCCTAATGTAACTGGCCCTGGACAAGGTTAACTCTGGGTCTGTGTACAACACAGAGATCCTGAAACAAAAGAGGAATCTAAAGCTCCTTTACACAAAGCATATGGTTGGCAGTGCAGAGCCGAGGAAGATGTGTCCTCCTGCCTTCTTCTAAGCTCAAACAACAGACTTCCGGAAGGTTGGTGCCTCTGACATTACCTACTCTGTTGCAAGAGAATGGAAGAGACAGATGGAAAACACACAACCAATGTTGAGAGAGAATACAACCAAGAGGTCCAGCAGTCACAGGATGTGATCTAGGTAGAATTTATTGGTTTTCATGTGACATGGCCACATAATCCAAGTTCATCATGTCTTCAACATACAAAGGTCTATAGCCAGTGTTTACAGCATGTGCTGCTTTTCACTATTCAGTCCAAATGTAAGAAGTAGGCAGGTACTGCTGAAATGGAGGGGCTTACTGTGCTCTTCTAGCCATTAGCATTTCCCGGATATTATCTTCAGCTTCCTTCACACTCCGCTCCAGGTATGACTTCCTCTGCTGAAAGAAACATAGGATGGGGGACAACAACATGGAGAAGCTTAGAGGAATGTACCAAGAACATCCGAAATCCTCTTCTGTGGTGACAAAGGAAGCACTGTGAATGGTGATATCAGCCTTATGTAGCCTTACGTTACAGAACACAACTTCTGGGGGCAAGCAAAGGGCAAATGAATGCTTAGTTCTCATCTTGCTAGAAAGATGGGATGGAGATCAGCCACTTTCTCCTTCCCCCGTCCAAGGCAGAGGGAAACAGGAGCTTAGCGCACCTAAATTGCTCAAGGTAGCAGCATGGAAGTGGAGCCTTTGACTTTCCATTGTTCCACAATTTCCCTGAAGAATTCCCTGTCTCTAAGGAATCCCTCTCTTCTTCCTCTGTTTATCCTGGATCATTATTATCACCTCCCCTTGATGTATGCACCCAACAATGGTAAATGAGTAGCATTTCTGCTGTCAGCAAGGAGATAGGCAAAAGCACATTCTAGATTACAGAAATGTTTCTTGCACAGAATCTCTCTCTTTTAGAAGAGAGACACAGGTTTTCAATCATCTGGGGTTTATGTTTTTTACAGAATGGACAACTGTACATTTCTGACTGACTATGTTTCTAACAACACCCAATATTGTCAAGAAATCTTGACCATAACAACCATAAGCAGTATTACACATGAATAAAGGAATAGCTGGCTGACACATCTGCAAAATATTTGTGCCATGTGAGCCCAGGGCAAGGTAGATCATTTACACAGAAAGCTGCACACATAACTGCTGGCTTGTTTCCCTGATAGCACAGTAAGCACTTACTCACAACTGGGGATGGTCTGACAAAATCAAGTGAGAGGGGCACAGTGTAGGGGGCACAGAGGTAAAATGGGATGAACAACAGTAAGAACTTAAAGATTCACAAAAAGATTTTTATTGTAGCTACAGGATGGCCACTTTAATTAAAAATTGCAAATATTTCTTCAACAAAAAAGAGCTTCCATGGCAGCTGAAAATTAAAACTAACCATATAAATTAATCATTACAAAACAACCAAAGGAACACAACAAAATGTTAGTGACAGCAGCTATACTAAACTCCCTATAAAGCTTACACTAAGTAAGAACAAGCTGGTCATCACAAGCACTCTTTTTCAACAACACAAGAGGCAACTCTATACATGGAATTCACCAGATGGGCAATACTGAAATCATTGATTATATTCTCTGTAGCCAAAGAGGGAGAAGCTCTATACAGTCAGCAAAAAATAAGACCTGGAGCTGATTGTGGCTCTGATCATCAGCTTCTCATAGCAAAATTGAAGCTTAAACTGAAGAGATTAACAAAAACCACTGGGCTAGTCAGGTATAATCTAAACCAATTAAAAATGTTCTAATCAGCCCCCTACATTTGAACGTTTAGATGTAGATGCTTTAATACATGCATAAATATATAAATGCATTAAAATTGAGTGCCAGGCACAGTTCTGTTTTATTTTTCTAAGCCCTTTTAATCTAACTTAACTTATTTTATCCCTTATTTGATCCTGGTATTTTAAATCTATTATATGTTTTGGTTTTTACAATCTGCAAGAGAAATAGGAAAAGTTACAGAAAATTGAACACAGATTTCCAAAGAATAGCAAGGAGAGACAAGAGGGCCTTCTTAAATGAACAGTGCAAAGATGTAGAGAAAAATAATAAAAAGAGAAATCCAGAGATCTGTTCAAGAAAATTGGAGATATTAAAGGAACATTTTGTGCAAAGATGGACAAGAGGCCAAATTGCTAACATGTGATAGATTATGGAGAAAGCCAGAGAGTTCCAGAAAAAGATCTACTTCTGCTTCATTGACTATGCAAAAGCCTTTGACTGTGTGGACCACAGCAAACTATAGCAAATCCTTAAAGAAAAGGGAGTGCCTGACCACCTTATCTATCTCCTGAGAAACCTATATGTGGAACAGGCAACAGTTAGAACAGTTAGAACTGGATATGGAACAAGTGATTGGTTCAAAATTGGGAAAGGAGTACAACAAGGCTGGATATTGTCCCCCTGCTTATTTAACTTATATGCAGAATACATCATGTGAAAGGCCGGACTGGAGGAATCCCAAGCTGGAATTAAGATTGCCGGAAGAAATATCAACAACCTCCGATATAGCGATGATACCACTCTGATGGCAGAAAGTGAGAAGGACTTAAAGAACCTCTTAACTAGGGTGAAAGAGGAGACTGCAAAACCCAGTCTGAAGCTCAGCATCAAAAAAACTATGATCATGGCCACTGGTCCGATCACCTCCTGGCAAATAGAAGGGGAAGATATGGAGGCAGTGACAGATTTTACTTTTTTGGGCTCCTTGATCACTGCAGATGGTGACAGCAGCCATGAAATTAAAAGACGCCTGCTTCTTTGGAGGAAAGCGATGACAAACCTCGACAGCATCTTAAAAAGCAGAGACATCACCTTGCCAACAAAACTACACATAGTCAAAGCTATGGTTTTCCTTTAGTGATATATGGAAGTGAGAGCTGGACCATGAAGAAAGCTGACCACCGAAGAATTTCTGCTTTTGAATTGTGGTGCTGGAGGAGGCACTTGAGAGTCCCCTGGACTGCAAGGAGAACAAACCTATCCATTCTAAAGGAAATCACTGCACTGGAAGGACAGATCCTGAAGCTGAGGCTCCAATACTTTGGCCATCTCATGAGAAGAAAAGAGTCCTTGGAAAAGACCTTGATGTTGGGAAAGTGTGAATGCAGGAGGAGAAGGGGACGACAGAGGATGAGATGGTTGGACAGTGTCATCGAAGCTACCAACATGAATTTGACACAACTCCGGGAGGAAGTGGAAGACAGGAGGGCCTGGCGTGCTCTGGTCCATGGGGTCACAAAGAGTCAGACACGACTAAACAACTAAACAACAAAGTAAGATTGAACAGTATAAAAATGTTTCAATGGCCTGGATACATTTAAAAGTCCTCAGATTGCAAGGGAAAGATACGAGAGGGAATGACAAGCAAGCCCCTCTGATGAGAGAATTCCAAAGAAGAGATACTCCTACTGAAAAGTCCTTTTCAATGTATCCCCCAGTACCACAAAATCTTCTGCAAACTGTACACTTTTGTTTGCACGTCTACTTTCTAAAAAATTACAGGAATAAAATAGGCAAGCAACCATTATATGGCTGATAAAATAGGTTGGGAAAGAATGTGGCAAAATTGCCTCATGTCCCAGTGAGAGACCCGTTTTAAGTTGCAAGGGAGGGAGTAGGGTGGCCTGCCCATTGAGGCCTCTGGACCTGTGGAAGTTGTCCAGCCCTGTCTTCCTCTGGGTCTGGGCCACTAGGCTAGTCCATTCAGTCTATCATGTCATTAATGAGTTTCTTCTGCCTCCTTAAAGCCCCTCCACATTCAGAGGAAGGGGAGGCAAACAGCATTTGAGCTTCAAGGGAAGCATTCAGTTGGTCTTGCTTCCCTCTTTCTTCCTTGATTGGAAAGCAAAGGGGGAATGAAGTTGACTCAGCTATGGCTATGAGGTGTGTTCCTTTAAGACTGCATCTGGGCTTGCTTTGCTTCCCATCCTTCTCCCAATTAGAAGAAGTGCACAGGGAACAAAGGTCAGAAAAGCCAGGAGAAGGGGCTCCTCCACGTTCCAGTATATTCACCTATTTGCTGTTTTGGCTGGGATAAGAAGTGACTGGATAATCAGCTGGCACTTGGAAGAACATCCTTTCCAGGTACTAGGAGAGTCTCTTTAGCTACAAGCAGTGCACACAGCCCTCTCACTACTTAACTGGTACCTGAAGGGAAAACTCATCGGAGCACTAGTTGAGTCCCTTGACCTGATGGTTGGTGTCTCAGCTTCGGACGCAAGTGCAGGTGAAGCCAATGCATGATGCAGTCAGTGCCTGGAGGAGATGCTGTTATTCTTGTCATATTCCATCAAGTTGCCTCAGACTTAAGGCAACGCTATGAATAAGTGACTTCCAAAATGTCCTACCATTAACAACTTCCACAAACATAAGGCCATGCCTTCCTTCACAGAGCTAATCTTTCCGTTATTTGTTCTCCCTCTTTTTTTTCTCCTGCTTTGAACTTTCTTAGTACTACTCTCCTTTTCAGGAAGTCTTATCTTATCATGATATTCCTAAACTATGACAAGCTCAATATCGTCATTTTTATGCTTCTAGAGAAAGTTCCCACTGGATTTTATTTGGGACCTCTTGTTTATCTTCGTTGTGGTTCATAATATACACAAAGCTCTCTTCCGGCATTGTATTTCGAAGAAATATTTTTTTTTTCCTGTCAGCTTTCTCCACTGTCAAAGAAATAATTTTTTTTCCTGTCAGCTTTCTCCATTGTCCATCTTTCACATCCACAGTAATCAGGAGTACCATAGGATCAATGATCTTCACCTTGGTCTCCAGTGATATATCCGTACAGTTGTTGATCTTTTCCTGGTTGCCCTTCATAATATCAGTCTTTTGAGTTCTTGGCTGCAGTCCCCATCTGAATTTATTATGACCATAATTTCATGCATCGGCTTCCAAGAAGGAAACTAATATTAAAACCTTATGGACCCGAGTCTACTCATAGAAAATAAGCTCATTTAACAGCAGTGGGTGGGTGGCAAACAGTTGAGAGTAGTTTCATTTGTGCTTAATAAACTCAAAATTTAAGACCTGCTAGGCAAACCGTTTACAGACATGAATTAACACCATCAGAATGCCTGACTATTCTTTCCTCTCCAGGACTGTCTAAACAGAAATCAGCCCACTCTTTAAAAAAAAAAAAAGCCGTGATGAAACCTCTGGTGCAACCACTACTACATCCTGCAGATCAGAATTCTCAGTTTCCAGACAGATACAGGGCATGTTGGGAGAAGAAAATGTAGTTTGCCTGGTTAGACTACTTGCTCATTCTCTCATATTCTCTGCCAAGGCCTTGATGGACCTTTGCTTAGTCAGCTCCATGCAACTCACAACGAAGCTAAGGATGTCCCAGACATGAGACCTTGG